ATATATATTTAAGGTCTACACCACAGATGCAGATATAACCTTAGATGGCGATATTTGCAAGGAGACAGAGAAGAGACTGGAGACCGCTGAAATGTGGAATTTAAAGAGAGCACTCAAACTTTCACAGACAGAGAGAAAAACAAATAACAGGCTGTGAAAGATCTATAATCAGAACTGTCAAAAATAGACAAATTGTACTCATTTGGCCACATATAGATCAAACGGACAAGAGAAACTGCTGCTGTGCGGAAAGACAGGGGGAAAGAAGAGCTGAGGAAGATGATAATGAAACAACTTTACAGCTTTAAATAACACAATGCGAAGAACCGATCTTTTCAAGAAAACATACAAAGGGACGTGAAAACGCTGTCGTTGTAAACACGTTCTATTAAGATTTCTCTAGCCGTTACGACATGCGCATCGTGAGTGGTAGAGACCCGGAAGTAAGGCGAATTTACCATTTTGTTCACATGTCCTGCGACTGGATACTACGCTACCTCAGAGTTACAAAAGTCTGTCTGCTCAGTACCCAGTTTTGAGAAATTTGATGTCAAAATTTTCCAGTTTTACATAATGTCAAAGTTTTTGGAATGCAATTCTTTGAATAGTGATAACGATTCCAAACGGCTAAAAATGTCCGATGGAACTTTGTAATGTTGTTGTTGATGATGATGATGATGATGATGATGATGATGATGATGATGATGATGATGATGATGTTACTGTTGCTGCTGTTGTTGTTGTTTTCATGAAATTCGCAGTCTGCTTCCCTTCCCCAATTCGGAATTCGAAGCGTCATGAATGGTGACGTGGCGTCATCACAGCGTACTGTCTGAGAGAATACACGCGTGCTTTAAGTGACTGGCGCAGTGAATAGTTGGCGAATGTTGAATAGCGGAAGTTAGGGATGGACGTATCATAGTATAATTTGCTTTCAAACATTCGATGGTGGTATTCGAATGGCATGAACAGTGAGCTCACGCTTCGAAGCGTCGCATGAGGTCATTTCCTCGAAAATCCCTCAGCACAACTGGACACCGGTCAGTATAAGCTGGTAATTTCCTGGTCAAGGGCATGAGTAGGATCGGTTATTTGGTGTTAGGTGCTGTAAGCCGCTATCTATCTATCTATCTATCTATCTATCTATCTATCTATCTAGCTAGCTAGCTAGCTAGCTAGCTATCTAATATGGAATCTATATATCTGTCTGGCTGTCTATTTATTTCTCTGTCTGTCTGTCTGTCTGTCTGTCTAAACATCTATCTGTCTGTCTTGCTATCTTTCTACTTATCTGTCTGTCTATATCTCAATCTATCTAATGATCTATCCCGCTATCTTTCTTTCTATCTATTTAGCTAACTAATGACTTGATATTACAGGCTAAGGGAACAACAAAAAATGCACATACTCTTTACAGAGGCAAATATTCACGCTGAGAACAGTCAAATAAAAGTGCTGGTTAAAGGCAATGGTGCGGATGGGAACACACAAAACACCTACATTCAGAAAATAAGTATAAATAACTTTAACATACGATGAAGAAAAACTCCTGGGGGGGG